AAACTCAAAATTCAATGTTTTTTTTATTCTATTATATATGAGATGAAGAATTTCAAACTCCTTTAATTGTTCATATAACTATATAAAATGCTAAACCATTGAAACATACCCCAACTCTCTAGAACTATAACTTATGTAGCATAAGGGTCTAGACACATAATATGTTCACTTAAGAAAAAATTTATAATGATTGCTATGATCCTAAAATATGTATTTAAAGGATTCATATTAAAGGAATATATTGATACAATTATCCTCTTATTAAATAAAATAATTTAAAAAAATAAGTAATTTGAATTGCACATAGACTGCGTATACAATGCACCCCAGATGCGTATAGAGGACGTATCTTGTGAGTATTTTCTCTAGCCAAGAAAAAACCACTTTTGATCACAAGGAATCATATATCAATTATGAAAACTCAAAATTCAATGTTTTCTACTTCTATTATACACGAAACGAAAAATTTCAAACTCTTTTAATTCTCCATATAACTCTATAGAATGCTTAAGATATTTATTAATAAAGAATTTTAGCCTATTATGAATTTATGAACTCCATTATTGCATTCATTATGTTGTTACATGTTTCTTTATTGTTGTTTGCTATGCATTTATTTCAGTTGGTTGAGGTGGTTGACATAGCCGCTTTGATATCTACTAGTATTGATGGCATTCATTATTGTTTTGACCTAATTTATTGCTCTCTATTATTTGTTTGACCATCTTGTCTATATAAGAAGTTTACCTCTTCCATTGCCTTTTAATATAATACAGTGTGAGATTTTTACAAAAATTTCAACTGGGTTTTTGCATTGTCGTATCTTCATGTAATCCCGGTGCTGAAGGTTTAACAAAAATGATTGCCTAAACCTTCAACAGAGGGACTGACATGAAGAGGCGGCATGCAAATATGCAGTTAACGTTTTTCTAAAAAACCACACAATAATTGTCATTGTGGGTTCTTTTATCAACGATGTACCTAAGGATAAATTTTTTTGTTTAGAAGAAAGGACCATCAGCAAATAGATTTTTATTTCTTGATTTATTTTTTAGCTCTTTCAAGCAGTTGTGAGCTGAAGGTACCTTAAGGACTTTTGTATATTGTTTTTAACGCTTAACTACTGCACATTTGTTACATATTTACTGCTTAATTATTGTGTATTGTGTGCGCATTTGATGTGTATTGTGTGCGCATTTTTTGTGAAAAAATTTATCAAAATAATATTCATATTGATCTGACCTTGAAAAAATCTTTGGAAATAACAAGTTCATTTTAACACTCCACAGAACAATGCGTATGAAAATTCTGCCCTAAATTTTGGCAATTTAGCCAGCCAATCTTTACTATCTTTCCTGTTGGTTTTGCTTTATAGAATAATATTTTCCATATATTTGCAAACAAACATTTTGCAATCTACATTGTTTGTTTGAGTTGGCACCTTCTTGATAGTCTTGAACTTCCATTTGTTGATATCATTATCAAAATATTCTTTGCTATCCTTATATAAGCTTATAATCTATGCAATATAAGGAACATACTTTATTTTTAATAAATGATCTCAAACTTACTATATTTGTAGCAATATTTCTATGCATAGGATTGGGAACAGAATCGTAAAATTCTCACTTTTTTTCATTTTGGAACTCAACCAGAAGTGTCCAATGTGAACCGTCAATAATTGGCTGAATTAGAATGTTGTATGAATGAACAGAGTCATAGTTTATGTGTTTGATAAACAATTTTAATTCACTATTCTTCACCATGTAATGCTGCAAGAATTAAATATAACAATTATAAAATTATATATAAATTAAACATGTATACTAACCCAATACATTAGCAAAATGTATAGAAATTTATGGTACTTGTTGGAAAAAAGTTTACTCTTCTCATGCAATAAAATGATGAAGGAATCTACATGATCATTGTCAAGGTAACTATCGGATAATATTTGGTTCATGCCACATCTTGAAATTATAATATTCCCAGCTTCAAATATTGAATCATTCCTGAAAAAAAATTATGCAAAAATTACACATAGATTACGCATAAATTACGAAATATAATATGCATACAATACACATGCAATACGCATACAATATGCATATAATACGCATGTAATACGCATGCATAACACAGTAAATATGCAGCATATAAATACAAATTAAACACACTAAAAAGCTTCAGTTTAATAATATAGTGAGAATGTTTACTTGTCGATGTACTTCTTAATGCTTTCCGTAATAAAATATTTCTTCTCAGGACTCAGCATCTCTATGTCAATGTAGTTCACTGTTAGACTTGCATGTTTAGGATTTATCCTAACATTATCAACGTTGTTTAGTTCTTTTGGGGATGAAACTTTTTGGAATGATTCTTTTTGGGAAGGTTCTTTTAGGGATGGAACTTTTTAGGATAGTTCTTTTTGGGAAGGTTGTTTTGGGGATAAAACTTTTTATGATGGTTCTTTTTGGGATGGTTCTTTTTGGCAGGGCTTAGGAATATCTAATTTCTGCTTCTTGTACACCTTTTGAATTTTTATAAAAATGACATCATCATCTAAGTCACCAGCTTCTTCATCATTAAAAGCCTTGGTCATCTCTAGGACATTGATTTTCTTTGGGACATTGAACTGCTTTGGGACTTTGGACAGCTCTGGGACATTGGACTTCTCTAGGACATTGGACTTCTCTGGGCTTTGGTCTCGGCTGGGGGTTTAATATCGTCTAGGGCTTGGGTCTTTGTATATTCAAAAGATATCCCTATATTTTTCATTGGGTGATTGCATGATGATGAGGAGGGAGCAGGTTATTGATCAGGATTAAGAGTGCCTTGAATAAAGCAATTGTGAAGCTTGTAATAAATTAAATCCACTCTTTTTACTATTTGCTCAAACTTCTTGCTCAGCCTACCTTTAAATTCTTGGAAGAGGTTTGTGCAGGTATCTTGGACTATTTTGATCATTTTTTCTTGGAGAACATCGAATGATTGAGGTTATTTAGGTGATTGGGGTTGGGGTAGGGGTTGTTGGGCAGATTGGGGTTGGGGTTGCTGGGCAGATTGGGGTTGGGATTGCTGGGTAGATGGATGCTGTTTAGGAGTGGTGGTTTGAATGGGAGCATGATGGCTTGCTATATATTTTTGGATGCCCAGAAGATTAGCTTCTTCAGGGGTAACTCCTTGGTGGTCAACAAAAATCTGTGAAAAATTAATTTGTTAGCAAATGATTTGTCAACAAATAATTTCGCTTTTGAGTATCTATACACAATATATATGTAATATATATGCAATATATACACAATCTATATGTGATATATATGCAATTTATACGCATACAATACGCATACTATACGGGGTAATGAATAATCCGCAAATTTATTGAGATTAACAAATAAATCTGCATACGTATATGTCTTTTCTTTAAATTAACAAATAATTTAGTGGTCTTTTCGGTATTATATACAACGTTATCGGCCCATCAGAGGAAATGGGGCCTTTTGTTAGGGTACTTAGGGTGATGAATGGAAGTGTGCTCTAGGAACCAAACATGTATAAAATCAAAGTAAATTTTAGCAAATGAATTAGTCCAATTAAATGTTAAATTAGAACGATTTTAGCACTAACAATTAGCAAAGACACAAAACCATTGATGTAATCAGCCGGCTTGTTCTTTGAAATCTTAGTAGATACATTATTAAACTCTTAAACCAAGCATTCCCAATTCGACCATGCCTAGTCAACTCTAGGGGGGCTATGTCTAGTCAACTCTAGCATTTTCGACTTTATATCATTTGAGGTGATGATTGTAGTTGGCAAGGTAAGCCAGATAATCTCTTCACCTCTATTTGGAAGACTAGTAAGGAGGGCCACTTCAGCAGCTGTGAAAGGTATAACATGACCCTCAATAATAAAACTTTGCTTTGGTATATTCCACATTGTCATAAGCTAGTAAATAAGTGGGGCGTTTGCTCGAATCCACGAAATTGAAGAAATTGATAGATATTCAGGTTCTTCAATTTGTCTTTAACTTCAGGAGGAATTATCTCAGCAAAAATATCACTAATTGTTCTAAATGTTGAAACATAACATCGATAAGAGATAGGACGGACGTAAATCTGTGTAAATTAAGAAAATAAATATTAATTTAGATAAGCAGATGATACACATTAATTACGCAATATATATGCATAATATATGCAATATATACACAAAGTATACGCAATATATACATAGAGTATACGCATACGATACGCATACTAAACGGGATACGATATGCAGAATAACTAAATACGAACTCAGACAGTACGCATACTGTACGCAGAATATATGTAGAAATCAATAATAATTTAAACTAAAATTAATCAGAATGCAAGATGACTAATCTTTTTTCTTTATTAGAATTTTTTTTTATAGTTTTAAGATCCATAGTATTTATTTTAAAATATTAGGGTTTGAGTCTTCAACATATATATAGAGAATAAGCAAAATATACGCAGTATATACACATAATATACGCAGAAAAAACGTAGAATGTGAGAAAAATATTATCATTTATCGTTATTGGGATGTTTTTTATTTTTTTATGATTTCTTCAGCAAATACGTAGTGAATACCAAAAAAATACGGAGTACATTTTATCTGTTGTACGCAATAACATACCTTTTTTTTGCAGGTGACTCCTTTCCCTCCTCCATTTGAGCAGAAGAGATTGCTGAATATTTTTGAGAAGAATTTTTTGCAGGAACCTCGGAGAACTACGAATGCAGGAAATTAAAACTGTATAGGCGCTTGAATGAAATGTGAAAATTTTCCGCCTTTTCATCGTTTTACTTTTATGTTGGGTGGTCAGATGTCTCTTTGTCTCTAGTCGGTCCAAAAAAACAAACGAGTCAAGTTGAAATGAACATGCTAACTTTGTAGGTAAGCACACAGCGTATAAAAATTTTACTGGGCTCCATGACCGAATACCACCCACAATAATTTCTCCCGATCGAATTAGCGGTTCGTCCGGTTCCGCACCAAATAATTTCTACAAAAACTCAGACCTGCTGCATCGCAAAGCGGTCGGACTCGCGGGAGTGCGAAGCGAGAGATGGATCCCGACAGGCTACTGGAAAACGAGAGGCTTCAGATGCAGCAGATAAGAGAACTCGACATGGAGGAGCTACAAATCGAGGAGGTTGATGAATCCTCCTCCTCCGACGATGACGACAACGGTCTTGTCAGGTTAATTCGATATCTTTAATACCTCTACCCACTTCCTATTTAGGCGCCTCTGATCTAATTCCACCAGTATTGAATCCCAAAGCTTTTCAGATATTAGGGCGCTGGGGCAGATGCTGGATTCTACGTTTGTATAAGCATATCAGGATGCTCAAATATGTGCATGTCCTCGATTTCTTCTTCTTGCTGCCACCCTTTTTATTTTTTATTTTTTTTTATGGGTCTTTTTTAGGTGAGCGTGGCAGTAAACACTCAGGAATGTGTCATTACTACAAATATGAAGAGTGCCAAAGTATTCAAGTACTGCTTGGTTCAATGTTATTTATGTGTCCGTGCTACTGAAATAAGAGCGTTATCGATCAAATGCTATGTGTTTGATTTAGTTTTATTTTACTTCAACAGTTAAATGCTAATTAGAGTGATCAATGCTGATTTTGATATTTGTTTCGTTATTTATTTTAGACTTTAGATGGCCTAATTCCTAAATTTGATTTGCATCTTGATCTTGTTAAAATAGAACTTAAATGCCGTATATGAAATTGTTATTCAAATCACGGGTGAGCTACATTTTTTGACTTATGCTAATAGATTATGAAAAAAAAAGAGATGTTCTCACGTTATATTTTAGCTCCAACATTTATCTATTTTTAGTTGTAGATTCCTAATTAACTTTCTTCTAATTGCATCCATTTATTGTATTTAATTTTCTTTTTTTATCACTCTTATGCCTTACTATTTGATCTTTTATAGTACTATTTTGTGATTTTGTTGTAAACTTGTTGCATAGTTTCATACCATAGGGTATGTCATCATGTTCACATTTTTTCATCTTTGCTTCTTGTAAAAGATTTGATTGTCTAGCTATAATGTTGATGAACTTCTTGTGTTTTATTTTGTTTCTCATAATGTTATCAAATAGTCATAAAGTGGTAATCTGCTTCGATATTTAGAGTAGTTATACTATCTTATTCTAGTATTTAGTTCTTTTACCCTGTTAATATTATTCTTTTCATTTATAATCTTTGATCTGATGGAGTATTTATCTACTGACGTCATACCAGACATACTGATGGACAAGCAGGAGATCACTACTTTACCTTTGATACATGTTTGGCATCCTTGCATACCTATCTTGGCGGTAAATAACCTACATATTTATTTTATATTATTGCCTTCTTAGAACATCTGAAGCCTTATTTTTTGTTTAATGTAACAGAGGTTGATGAAACTCATTGTAGATTGGCATTCTTAGATGGAGGCGCTATTTTGAACTTGCCAATGTTCTATCTTAAAGGTAGTTTTTATTTTCTGTAGTGATTTTGTCATCTTAGGTCTTAGGAAATTGCTTTATGTCCATTTGCTGTGCCATTGGAGTTGACATAATAGTTTTTTTAATTACACATTGATTAACTTTCAAAATTTTTCAAAGAAGGCCACATTTAAGTGCACCATATGAAAAATCCTTCGGTGAATGTTCTGAATCTAGAGGCATGGATTGAAAGGTTGTGCAAACTATTGTTTGATTAAGGGGTTGTCTGTTTGGGTGTATTAGTACTGTAGAGTAAATAAAATGAATAAATATTTGAAGTTTCAAGTACTTTGTTGAAAAAAAAAACATGAGTAATTTGTTGCAGGATTTGAAACTACATCCGTACTTCATTATTTGTGTAGTTGGAATTCGCTTGATTCGATTGCATTCCAACTACTCAATGTAATAAATTCATTTGATGTTGTGACCTCTTAACATGAATGATGTCGTGTCCCCCTCGCATTGTGCGGTGTAGCTTTACACTTTCCTGATGATGTCTCCCTCTTGAGATCACAACTCTTGACCATGAACATGACCCCCATGCGCAAACACACTCCTCTCCATGCCATACGACCACATTCACATCGTCGGTGCCTCCCTCCCTTAACGATGCTACAAGATCACAAGCATGAGTTTGACCCGCAACACTATGAGTGCTTCCCCTCGATCGACATCACATTGCACCTGCTCCAACAATAGCTCACATACTAGATGCTGCCCCCAACAATTGAGTGATCGCCGATAGAGTTTACAAAAAAAGTAAGAGTTTACAAGAATTGAAGCACAAAAAGTAATGCCTTGAATTAATTCTATAAGTAACCAAACTCCAAAAAGTATTTCAATTACATTAAATTTATTTTATATTGCATTTAAAATTCACCTGAGTTCTTTGTATTGCATTTAGAATTCACTTGAGTTCTAAATATTTCTAACCAAATAGCCTCTAAAGAAAATTGCTGGTTTTACGATATATTATGTAACTGATGTAGAACTACGATGCTTGCAATGAATTTAGTAAGAGCTTGCACAATTAATTGATTAGATTAATAAAAAATAAATCTATTAGAAAATAAAACGAAGAATCAAAATGTAAGAGCGGTCACTGTGTTTAAGCTAAGTTGCACATCAAGAGATTTGCATCATCAATATATCGTAGGAGAATAACATCATGCAAACGTAGTAGCGTTCAACGTAAATCCCTAGTCTAACAATAAGAATTAGAAACAAAGAAGTGCACTCAAATTCCTACGTTTACTAAGCTTAGCAAAATCGGGTGAACACATCCTTCATGACTACAATTAAATCACAAGAGAGGGTTATACGTAAGAAATACGAGAAAAGGAAAAGTAGAAAACCTCCGTCAAGGATCGGCGACAATCCTCCACTCGACGATCTCAAGTTGTTCTTCAATAGCTTCCACCAAGGTGTCTAAGATGCGCTCTATGTAGTCCTCAACCGTATGGTCGATCCTCGGGTTGACGTCGAAGAAGGTTGAATGGAGAATGTGCATGAAGCTGTGCTTGTCGTAGGCAAGTCCATAGTCGGTGTCAGGATCGGCCATGCAATGGCTTCATGTACGTGGTAGTATCGATGGCGTCTTCAAGGCTCTTAGGTGTTCTTGAGAGAAGAGGGATCCTCACAAGAAGTAAGAGCTAAGTGGAGGAGAGGGTGGGCCAAAGAAGGAAAGCCACTAGTGGGGTTAGGAGTAGGTTGATGGAGAGATTTCACTTCAAAATATGAAATAAATTTCAGATTTTTAAATTAAAGAGTAGAAATTAGGAGGTAAACTTTAATTTCTAAAATCCGAGGGGAATTAATGAGAGAGAGAGGGGGCGGCTAGGTTAAGGGGGCTGGCGGTATGGTGAGAGAGGGAGGGGCTTAGGGAATTAAATATGGAGTTGCCTAATCAGGGAGTTGTAAATTAAGCAAGAGATCCAATCAATTTCAAATAGAATTTGATTTGAAATTGTCTATGAAAACTTTTCTAAAATAGAGTAGTAGAATTAGGAGAGAATTTGAATTTTAAATTTAATTAATTTGAATTCCAAATTGATCCCAAATTAATTCTAACTATATTAGAAGGCTCAAAGCATGAGAAAGTGGAGTGGGGCCGATGGTTAGGAAGGCGAGGCCAGCGGCTATAGGGAGGATGAGGAGGAAATCAAGGAGGCTTTAATGCTTCCTTAATTTGGGTGATTAGATTTAGGATCAATTAATTCATCCCAAATTAATTTAAATTCCGATGGAGGGAAGGATTAAAAACTTTCCTAAAATAAATTTTAAAATTTAGGGAAGAATTTGAATTTCAAATTTGGGGAAATTTGAATTTAAAGGCCAATTAAATTATGACAATCCAAAAGTAGAAAGTAACTAAGATGGGCAAAGGGGCTTAGGCCGATGGTTTGAATGGGGTTGGGTAGGGAGGGGTGGTGGCTAGGTGAAAGAGAGGTGGTGTGGCCGGTGATGGTAGGGGAGGGAAGAGAGAAAGAGATGGAAGATAAAACCACGATCCCGTCTCGTCTAGGTTGGTGGGTATTACACAAGCTTCCCTCTCCTTGGGATTTCACTCCAAACTCTCAAGCTCTCATGAGAATTCAAACAAGAGAAACAAAGTTTTTATTATCATTCATTAACTTGCAAAGAGAATCATAGGGGCTATAAATAGCCTCGTACATAAGACTCAAAAATAAAAAAGATGACAATGCCCTAAGGGATTATATATGACATCCCTTAATAAAAGGGTGCAACGGGAAACTAAATAAAACAAATACAATACAAAATCATAAATAAGAAAATACATAAAACAAATAAAAAATACAATGACTCAATTGTGGCCGCAGATCCGCGGCCATGCCTCTGATAAACCTTCCATGATCTGATGTCCCCTTCATTCTCCAGGGGTGGGGGGAAGCTCGACTCCGTCGAGTAAGTGTCTCTGGTGCTCTCATAGATCTCTAGTGCATCTGGGTCAATCTGCTGCAACTCCTCGCGATCCAGTCAAGTATCATCCGACTTGGGCTTTCCTTTCCACCTGATCAAGTATCTCTTTCGTCCTCCTTCCCTTGTGGATATGATATCATAACTTATGATCATGTCTACCTTTTCTGCCATGTGTAATTTAGGAATATTTGGTAGTGGAAGTAGGTTTGGGATCTCACATGGTGGGGTCACACAAGGTTGCTGTATGAGTGGATTTGGAGGGTTAAAATTAGGACCTTCATATACAACTAAATCTTCTATATTAAAAGAGGAATTAATATTGAATCATGCATGCAGATCTACTACATAAGCATTATCGTTGATTTTCTTAAATATTTTGAACGGTCCAGCACTCTTAGCATGCAACTTCTTTAACCGTTCCCTGCGGGAACCGTTCCGGACGAATCTGCACCATCACGGAGTCACCAACCTCAAAAGTTTTAAAACATCATTTTAAGTCCGCATATAGTTTGTATTCATTATTGCTCTTTTCAATTTGCTGTGCAATTTCTTTTATGAAGTTCATTCAAATGGGATGCAAATGATGATGCAGACTCATAAATCTTATACCTCAAACACATGGGCATAAGGTCTAGCGGCTGTCTAGGTTTGAACCCATATACAATTTCAGAAGGATTTAGGCTAGTGGTTCGGTTAATAGAATTATTATAAGCAAATTCAGCAGTAGGAAAAATGTAATCCCAGTCCTTAACGTGCTCGCCAACCAAAGACCGCAACAGATTACCCAAACTCTTATCAACTATCTCGGTCTGACCATCCGTCTGTGGGTGAAAGACAGTGGAAAATTATAATTTAGTGCCCATTTTTATCCACAGGGTTTTCCAAAAATAGCTAGTGAATTTCACATCCCGATCCGATACAATGGTTTTGGAAAAATCATGTAAACGAATGACCTCGTTGAAATATAACTTCGCAATGTGAGAGGTGTCAGATGTTTTGGAGCAAGGAAGAAAATGAGCTATTTTGGAGAACCAATCAACTACAACACAAATGGCATCATTTATACGGAGTTTCTTGGGCAAGCTTAAGATAAAGCCCATGCTAACATCTTGCTAAGGACAACTAGGGACAGGCAGAGGAGTGTAAAGACCCGTGTTTTACTTACGTTGTTTGGCCAGTTGGCAGGTGTGACACCGACTGACATCTCTCTTCAGGCTGGGCCAATAAAAGCGATACTCCACGGACTCGATAGTTTTGTCCCAGAGTGGAGTTCCCAGACAAAGAAATTCCCTAAGGGAGGTGCTCGAGATACAAAGCCTTGAGTCTTTGAAAAGATAACCATCCTCCAATTAGAAATCGTCCACAAGGCGTGTGCTGCCTGTGGACAAGAGAGAGTAGGTCTCCTTAAAGTTGGGGCATTCCAAATAGTCCCTTTTTATTTGGTCAAATCCCATGACTTCTGCTTTTATCTCAGTAGTAGTCATCATACGACGACTGAGAGTATCAGAAATTTTATTTTCAAATGTCTAAGGGTATAAGTGTACTCTTGAAGGAACTCGACCCATCGACCGTGGCGTGCATTTAATTTCTTTTGGGAGTTGATATAACACAGAGCTTCGTGATCCGAGAAAATGACAAACTCTTGCGGGATCTAGTAGTATCGCCAATAACGAAGAGATTGGATCACAGCATAAAGCTCTTTGTCATACATGGAATAACGCTGCCGAATATTATTAAGTTTTTCACTAAAATAGGCTACTGGGTGACCTTCCTGGGAGAAGACTCCTCCAATTCCGACCCCCGAAGCGTCGCAGGTCACTTCGAAGACTTTGGAGAAATCAGGAAGTCTCGTCCTGGGGCTTCCACCATCTTTTGCTTGATCTCATCAAAAGCTCTGGTGGCTGCCGGGGTCTAGTGGAAATCACTTCTTAAAGCAATCAGTGATAGGAGATACGACAGTGCTAAAATTTCGAATGAATTTCCTATGGAAGGTGGCTAATCTGTGGAAGCTGCGGACTTCCCGGATGTTCTGAGGGGCAAGCCAT